TCCACCATGTGAACCATTTAAATATTTTATAATTTTGATAAATGCGTCCATAAGATGGTCACATATATGCTTATTATCTACTCGAAACCCGACGTTTTCGAGATTGCTAGCAAATAATTTGATTTTGAGCTTTATTTTCAAATTATGCCATTAAAACAAGTCACCTTGATAATGTCGATGAATTTATTTCTCAAGCATTAAATTATTATTGATTGGCTATTGAACATCCCGTTGCTCATGTTCATACTAAAAAAGGTTTAGCAAAATCATTTATCAAAAGGCTCCAATTGATAGCTAAACTATTATTTAAAAATAAAACTCCCTATTTATGTTTGGGGATATGCAATCTTACATGCAAGTAACACTTATTCGCATATGACCAATAAGTTATCGAAATTCTCTCCTCTTTAATTGATTTATGGTCATAAGCCAATTATTTCTTATTTAAGAATTTTTGACATTGCAATGTATATCCTTAGTACTCCTCTATAATGAAATAAAATGAGCACTTAAAAGAGATTGGGAATATATGAATCCTCTTCGATAATTTAATCTCTTGATTCATGAATAAGAGAAAATTTTTACGACTCGATTTATCGACTCGTCATTTTGATGAAATAGCTTTTTCAACATTAGGGGAGAGAATAAGCAAAATAAGCGAGTTGGAAATATTGAAAAAAAAAGATTACATGGAGTACTCTATCTTTATATCATATTGAATCTCGTACAAAATAATATGAACCGAAGTTCAAAAGATAATTCATGTATAAGGTATTAAAAACCGACTGCTAGATGCATTCTTAGATCCTAAATGAGTAACTATAATACATGTCCCCGCTGAGAATGCTCATATTAGAATTGATGTCCCGTAATGACGATCTATTAATGTTATATAGCTAATAAATCTAAAGCACGCCCGAAGCGTGGTAGACCGATCCGTTCTAAAGACAAAATTCCTAAAAGAAAGGGGTAAGATAAAAATATAAAGAATGTAAATATTCATAAAACGGTCCAAGATATTTCGATAATAGGCTTCCCGAAGAAGTCCAAATACTTGAGAAAAATCAAGAGATTTTGATAAATTATATCAATGCAAGGAGAAAATAAGACCGAAAAGAAACATCTATTCATAAGATTTTTGCATATAATATTGCAATTGATATTATGGATGAAAATAAGGATCCCGAGCCTAAATTATTGAAGAATGTCGACATAAAGATGATTGGCCTAAATAAAAAGAACAATCTAGGCGAAATTATGTTCTCTTAGAAAAAAGTAGTTTTTTGAACCCATAGCTAAAACACTCGAAGATGTTAAGCTAGTGAGATACAAATATGTATTTATGAGAAAATGAAATAAGAAATATGAGATTATAAGATATAAAGCAAAACTTTTAACACAAAAGTTTTCGTAAAGAATTGACATTGACTATGAGGAAAGATATTCTCTTATAGTGGATACAATTGTTTGTTGTTATCTCATTACCATGAAAAAATATATGAAAAACATTCATATGCATGCATTTAATTAATGTGATTATAGTTTATTTGTTCATTTGAAATGAAATAAGTATGAAAGTCCTAAAAGGACTTGACATGCCGAAGCATGTAATACATATTCTCGAGATAAGAATTCAATTAAATTATAGAGATCTCTATTATGATTATTTTAGTATTTATTTTATTATTTTGCTTTTTAGAAATTCAATTTATACTTTTTATATTTTTTTTTATATATACTATTTATTACTAACCCGTGTGCATGTGATATAATCACTTCAATGATTATTTATTAAAAGAAAGTTATAAAAAATAACCCTATTTGTTCATATGTTTTTATTTGAAAAAAGGGTTTGTTATATATGTTGATAACTTAAATATTATCGGAACTCCCAAAGAGATTCCAAGTGTCATAAGTTACCTAAAAAGAGAATTTGATGTGAATATCTTGGGAAAATAAAATATTATCTCGACTCTCGAGTTCAAGCACTCAAAAAAATGAGATTTTCATTCATCGATCAATTTATATAGAAAGCTTCTACAATGATTCTATATAAAGATCATTCATTGACTAGCCGAATGGTAGTTCATTCACTTGATATCCAAAAAGACCATTTTTTACCTCGAGAAGATAACGAAGAACTACTTGGTCCCGAAGTACCATATTTTAATGCTACTCGGTGCATTGATTATCCGTCTAATAATACTCGACTCGATATAGTCTTTTCTATAAATTTGTTAGCTAGTCATAGTTCTATTTCAATATAGAGACATTGAAATAAAGTTAAATGTATACTATGTTATCTTCGAGGAATAATTGATATGGGTTTATATTACTTCAATAAATCAAAGACAAGATTAATTGGTTATGCAAATGCGAGTTATTTATTTGATCTACACAAAGCTCGATCACAATCGATTATATATTTACATATGGAGATGCAATTATATCTTGGAGTTCTACGAAGCAAACTATAGCCGCCACATCTTCAAATCATGCGAAGTATCAATTCACGAGGAAAGTCAAGAATGTGTTTGGTTAAGATTGACGATTCATCGTATCCGAGACACATGCGGTTTATCTATCAACAAAAGAAGTTCCAACAATATCATATGAGGATAATGTCGCTTGTATAATTCCATTGAAGGAATAATACATCAAAGTGACAATCCAAGTAGATTTATTCGCTAAAGCATTACCTACCGGAACTTTTGAGAAGATGATTCACAAGATTGAAATGCGTCGTCTTAGAATCTTAAATAATGCCTTCAACAGGGGAGACCAAAATAAGGATTAATGTGTGCAAGGAATATTGTATTCTTTTTCCTTCACTAAGATTTTTTTTCCACTCGCGTTTTTTCCGATAAGGTTTTAACGAGACATGTTCCTTGTACAATGGACATTCGAGGGGAGTGTTATGAAATAATGAATGTCCATCATCATGTTCATCCATTTTTCATATCCCTACTACTCATGATTCTTAATATGATTCAATTCATCATTCAATATGAGAAATTGAAAGGGTGATGCAATTGATTGTTCATAGTCCCTTCTAATTCTCTCCTCAATTTTGAAGCCTATAAATAGGCTTGATTATTCATTAGTTGATGTATAAGTTTTATAGAGAGAATAAGAGAAACTTTGAAGTTCTTATCACTTGTATCAACATTATAGTGATTTTATTTTCTTGTCATCCTTTTCTTCAATTCTCATATCATTTCTATTTATTTTATAACAATAGGTTGTTTTTAATTATTTATAAGTAAACATTTTTAACTTTAATTATTATTATGTTTTTTTTTTTTTTTGGTTTTAAAATCTGAATAATTTTATAAATTACATATTAAAAAACAAATATGATAATACACAATCTAATTATATTGTTCTTAAAGTTTGATCATGATCGCATAATATCTATAATTGATTATTATCATTAATATAATCTTTCAAATTTATTTTGCCAAAAAGAGTTATTTTCTCCTATTTGCATTGTATGAATATGTAAAGTGTATTATGTCAACAAAAATTTTATTCAAAGTCTTACCAACTTTTAATATGATAACATGGCATTAGGACTAAATCTTTTTATGTGAAAACGTTATTTCTAATTATACGTTATGTGAATATAATTAATAGTATAAATATGATAAAAAATTTATGGACCTTTATTTTAATATTTTTTTTTAATTAGTAAAATTTGTCAAAAGGAAGAATACAATTACAATTTTTGTGGATTATTTTGTCCAAATGAGTAAAAAGTAACATAGATAATAATAAAAAATTTATCTGAAAGAGAGGAAAAATCAAAACTTAAGAAAATGCTTATGATATCACTTTTTACATAGAATTTTTAAGCTTAAGGTTTTTTTTTTTTTTGAGATTTTTCTTATAATTGACATTTTTAATCTAAAGTAAAATATAAAATAAGATTAGTTTTGTTATTCCATAAAAATAAAAAGTGAGATTAACAACTTAAGGAGCTATTAACAATACGAACAGACATTAACAATCTAAGAAGTAGAATAACGCCATTTTTTTCTAAAATATTTTTATGGCATTTTTCAGGAGAAACAAATATCTATGTACAATATAGGGTAATTTAAAAACCCAAAAATAATACAAGAGAAACTTCTTGTTTTTAATTGAAAAAAAATACCCCTCCACTAAATAAGCTTATTTATAAAGTAAGCTTATTTTATAAAATAAAAGGTACCATTTAGCCACAAATATTTATGGTTCATAATTAAATAAATTGTCTTTTATAATTTTGAAATTTTTATGATTAATTTTTTTACATAAAAACAAATATAAGAATATTATTTCTTTCATTAGTTTGGTGATAAAGAAAGAACATTTTTACAACCAAAAAAAAAAAAAAAAACCTATATGTATATATATTTTACAATTTTGTACAACACTACGAGAGAACTTATGGTGGATTTGAATTTGTAACAGCTCATCGTACATATCAAAACCATATTGAACTTAGAAAAACAAAAAATGACAACAATCTACCAATTAAATTCATGCTCCTCTATGTCATATTCGCTATTAAATTTAAATTGAATGACAATGATTTAATGCATGTTAAAATGGCAACATTTTATCTATTATCTTTTTTTCTCTCGTCAAATCTAAAGTATTGAATTCAAAATTATGATAATATTTGAAACATGATTGGCCAAGTTCTTTTATAATATGAATTTATAAAAGACGACTCAAATCCATTGAAATTCAATTAAAAAAATCTAAAATATTGAAATTAATAAATTGAATAATTGTAGAAGAAATTAAAGAAAAAACAAATTTTGATTTATAATAAAAATTTGATACCGAATGTTAATTTATTTACTCATCTCTATAAACAAAAAAAAACACGAATCATTTGCAACACACTATCAAAATGACTAGTTTACCTGAAAAGGTCGAACGAATTTGCATCACAAAAAGAACTAGAGATCGTGAGAAGAAAAGGAGAGGATGACATGATTACCAGTGATTTAGGGAAGAGGAAGACCATCTGGAGCATTGAGTTGCCCCGTCAAACAGGATGACAAAGGCAAATCAGGATCAACGATATTCATCTTCGATCTTTTGTTAGGGCGTGGTTGCTCATGATTATCATCTTTAGCAAAGAGTAGATGGACTCCACATTTAATCACCTCACATGTTCTAGGGGTTCCGTGCTTATAATCAAGGCAGAATTCAAATGTGGCCTCGTTGAAACAATAACCAGACTTGGGACTCGGGTCATACCAAACGAACACATGATTACTTCCAATCTTGCCGACATCATCTATCATGTGTAACATGTAGGAGAAATGGAGATCACTTTGGTGTCCATTCATGGTTATGAATTTGCACTCGCATCTAATATCGTCAAATCCTATCCAGGTGTCGAAATTTTCTTCATCAGGGGCAGCAAAATCCTCGTGATCAATTTCCTCTTTGGATGCAACAACAACGCAAAATGCGCAACCCAAGGACTCAGTAATGTTGCGATGAGGGGGCTTGATTGCTTGTAATGAAGATCCTCTTTTATTTTGATAGCTGAACCATTCTGGGACTTCGCTTCCAGGAACACAAAATCTAGCTCTGCTTTGAAAGCCCTGCACCATTTCAATTTTGTAACACCAGCAACAGAGAGAGAGAGAGAGAGACAGATATATATACCTGATTGAACAGAGATGTTGCCATGCGTTGAATTCTCAGCCATGCATCACCCATAATTTTATGGTAAGCGTCCTCATTCAGTTGGTTGCAATATGCGAAATTGAAAATCTCAAAAGAAGCTTCATACTCTTTCTGAACTTCAGTGTATATACTTTGTACTGATTCTAGAGAAGTGCAGCACTGCACAGTTAAATGTTGTAGACATGATGGAAGCTCTGGTAAACATTGAAGGATCACACATCCGTTTAAAATGAGATCAGTCAGTTCAGAAAGTTGCTTGATGCTTGCAGGTATGCTCTTAAATATGTTCCCTGTTAAATTCAATTTCCTCAATGACATTAAAGAACCGATGCTGTGAGGAATTTCTGATAGGATGCAGCCCTCTAGATCCAGATATTGTAGACAGTCCAACTCACCGATGCTATCTGGAAGTTTAACTAGCTGTGAACGACGAAGATTAAGCTCTACAAGGCATTTACAATTCTTAATACTGCTTGGTAGCCTCCGTAGACATTTGCAGTCACTCAGATCCAATTTAACAAGCTGACGGAGATGTTCACAAATTGATTTCGGCACTTTTTCTATTACAGTTCCACGCAAGGATAACTCTTCTACATTCTTAGGAATTTTCGGAACTCTACAAAGATTGTCACAAAAGCTTAGGTCTATTTTTGTAAGCTTGCTGCAATATTCCAGAGAGGGAACATTTTTCAATTTTCCACAGGAACTCAGATCTAGGACCTCAAGATTGGTAACTTCACTCAAGTCTGTGACTCTGGCAAGATCCACTGAGTTACTGAGGTCCAATATTTTCAAATTCACCGGAGGCTGTAAAGAAAAAAAGAGGAAGTGAGAAAAGATGAGCATAATCTTATAATGCCTCATACATGATAAACAAGGAAGTTAGAGGCACACCTGAAATCCATTCCAAACTAGTTCTTCAAGATGGCTACAAGGCATTCGAAGTTCAATAAGTTTCCCCAGACATAAATTTGACGGCAGAGATTTGTAAGTGTAATGATCCCACCGGAGAATCCTTAAGTCCTTCGAAAGATATTTAAGGCCCTGTTCAGGAAGGTGGATTTTGATTTGTGTCATCTGAACTGCAAGTCGGTGGAATATCTGACACTCTCGAGGAATACGCCTAGGATAGTAGAATTTAAGCAATCTAAGCTTATCCTGTACCCTTTTGAAGGCTTTACAACTTAATGTCATTTCTCTGATTTTGGACAAGTCTAGGGATATGGCTTGAACTTCTTTAGGACCCTATAACAAAATAATAATAATTAAATAAAAATGAGTATATAGCATACAAAGGACTTACTGAAGATATGAATACAGTAGCAATTGATCTTTATTCTTGTCCAAGTTACACCTCCTATAAGTACAATAAAAACCAAATGTTAAATTAATGGTCAAACCCTTCATCTATTACCTTATAATGTGTTAATACACGATAGATTTCATCAGGATCCCATAATCTGGTACGTTTCCAAGGATCATCAAAGCTTTCGTTGCAGACAATACCTCGACCTACTTTTTGTAGCAATTCATGCACCCGTATGTCTTTATTTGAAATATTTATGAAACACCTATCAATAAGACGACTTATTGCCCATTTTGCATAGAAACAGCGAAGATAGAGTGTTTGCTGGAAAAGATCTTTGTTGCACCTTCCAAAGAAGCATGCAATATCAAGAAATGCATTCTTTTCTGTATCTTCTAAATCATCATAATTCATTGTGAAAACTTCCAAAATGTCCTTGTCAAGATCATGCTTTAGCTTTGCGAGCTTATCTTCCCATACTCTTATGTCCTTGCGGTGTAGATGGTAACCTAATGAACTCAGAACTAATGGATTGCCTTTAGCATGGTGTACCACCGCTTCTGATAGCTGCATATGCTCTGCTGGGGGAAGATTTTGTTTAAAAGCAATCAAACTAAAGAATTTAAGAGCTTCATGGTCATCTAATTTTTTCATCTGATATATTTTGTGACATCGATTTTCAAGTACTTGATAATCACTGCTTGTTAAAATGATCCTGCTTCCAAGGCCAAGCAAACCATCCTCTCCCACAAGTGCTTCTAAATCTCTAGCACTATTCACATCATCAAGAACTATGAGAACCTTTTTTCGTTGAAGCATTGCCTTGGTGCGTGTGCCTATACTCTGATTTCCTCTCTCTAATAGTTTACAGAGAATTTCATTTCCCAAACTACATTCTCCACGCCTCTTTTTTCTTCCCTGATATTTGGAAGAAAGCATCGACCTTCGAATCCATCAGAGATTTGATCAAATACAGCTTTAGCAACCCTTGTCTTGCCTATACCTACCATCCCCCCTATTCCCACAACACGAACGTCGGAGGATTCCATGCATAATAACTTTATGACCTCTTTAACTTGAAAATCAATTCCAATCGAGCCTTTTGAATCACTTGGGGGTATTCGATTTAATTTCTCATCAATGTCATCACCAATTTCCTTCAGCAGTTTGGTCTCCGGCCTGATGCATAAATTGAAATGATCCTTAAGAAACTAAAAAAAAAAAAAGGTCAAGAAAAGAAAATCCATTCGATAGATGATGATTTTTATTTTATGTAGCATCAACATGGTACTATGAAGCAAAAGCAAAAGAGAAATGGCAGCAATAGTAAAGGTGTTGATGTTAGTACACCTGTTGTCATGGAGGATGAAGTTCCTGGTTTTATCCCTCCTGATGATTAAGTCCCTATGGTGGAACATTAGAGGGTTTAACTAGCCTCATAAACAGAAAGAAGTACAAAGAATTTGCTCTTCCTTGCAAGTTGATATTCTGTGTTTACTAGAAACTAGGGTGCAAGAGCATAATGGTAGAATGATTGTAAAATATAACTTTGCTCATTGTCACTGCCACAATTATGACCATTCACACATGAGGAGAATCTGGCTCTTTTGGAAAAATTCTATAGTTATTGATGTTGTGGAAAAACACAGTCAATTTATTCATTGCAGGTTGCTAGCTGAAAGTGGTGATTGTTTATGCTACATGACCTTCGTTTATGGCTTTTACAAAACCAAGCAGAGATCAAAGCTGCTAAACTTCATTTCCCTAACGAGTAAGAGTCTTAGTCTGTCTCCTTGGGTTATTGCTGGTGACGTCAATGCGATTAGATACCCAAAAATGAGACTACTTCTATTCTGATCATTTGAAAGCTGATATGGAATCCTCCAATGCCTGCCTCAATTCAGCTGATGTTTTAGATCATTGTAGAACTGGATATTTCTACACTTGGTCTAATATACAGGTGATGAGTCCTATATTGAAGAAATTGGATAGAGAATTGACGGATGATGCATGGAGATGTGCTTTCTCTTACAGCACAGTTGAAATTTTAAATCCAGGCATTTCTGATCGCTGTCGTAGCCTCCTTCAAACATGTATTGAGCAGAAGTCTAAGCATAAGTCCTTTTAAATTTTTTAAAATTTTTGGACTTCCCATGACAAATTCAAGGAGATTGTGGCTATTAAATGGAATACTAGAATTTATGGTTGGCCTATGTACAGAATTTGGCAGAAATTAAAGCTTCTTAAAGGACCTGTTAAGAAGCTAAACTCGAGCTTCTATGGTGATATAACTGAAAAGGTTAGTTACTAATTCTGCTCTTGCTGCTGTTCAGAATAACTTATTGACTGACCCTTCTCCTGAAGTGATGATGCAAGGGAAACATCTCTCTAGCTTACTGACCGAGTATCAGATTGTAGAGGAGTCTTTTTTTAAACAGAAGTCAGAGAGCAATGGGTCCAGCTGGGTGAACTTAACACTGGTTATTTCCATAGAATGATGAGGGCAAGAAAATCCAGAAATAGTATCATCACTCTGTTTAATAATTCAGGTGATAAACTGACTACAAAAGATGATACTGAGGCTGAAATTGTTGGCTTTTACCAAAATCTTCTAGGGGAAGAGGATCCTAATGTTGCTTGTAGCAGTGTTGATTATCTTAAAAGTATTCTTCAGTATAAGCTTTAAAGTGATCAACAAGCTGTTCTATCTGCTCCTATTTATTCAGAAGTTAAAAAAGTTAGTTTCTCTTTGAATGGCAATAAAGCTCCTGGTCCTGATGGATCACTGCAGAATTTTTTAAGGTCTCTTGAGATATTATTGGTGAGGAAGTAACTACTGCTACGTTAATATCTCTTTTTTTTCAGACTGGTAAGCTTCTTAAAGTTGTAAACGCCACAATAATCAGTCTTATTCTTAAAGTGCAAGCAGCTAACAAGGTTATAGATTATAGACCCATATCTTATTGTTCAATCTTGAACAAGTGCATCTCTAAAATTATTGCCAATAGGCTAAAAGTATGTCTTCCTCAACTCATTAGCCTAAATCAAACTGCCTCTGTGGAAGGCAAAGGAATTGGAGACAATATCTGGTTAGCCCAAGAAGTTGTGAAGAATTATCATAGAACTACTACTGTCTCTCCAAGATCCATTCTCAAAATTGACTTGATGAAAGCTTTTGACAGGGTCAATTGGCAGTTTTTATTCAACATGTCAGAGGCTATGATTTTTCCATCTCAATTTCTTGCCTGGATCAAAGCTTGTATCAGTACTCCTCTCTACTCTGTTATCATTAATGGCAGCCCTTGTGGTATTATTAAAGGAAAGAAGATCTCAGACAAGGAGATCCCATCTCTCCTTATCTTTTTGTCATATCTGTAGGAGTCATCTTCCCTTCTCAATTCTGCGGCTTCTCGAAGAGTTTTTCCTTTTCACCCAGAAGTTATAAGATTAATCTTACTCATCTGTGTTTTGCAGATGATTTGACAATCTTTACAAATGGCACTATGGAAGCTTTGCATTCTGTTAAGAATATTTTGCAGCAGTTTTACCTCTTATCTAGCTTGAAATTTAATCAAAACAAGTGTGAGATTTTTTGTGCTGGTGTTTCTTCTAGTCTTGCGAATGATTTGCAGGTCTGTTCTGGTTCCAAGCTAGGGAAGTTATCTGTTAGATACTTGGGAGTCCCTCTCATCTTGGGAAAATTAGGTGTTAGAGAGTGCCAAAATTTGGATGAGAAGATTACTGCAAGGTTACAACATTGGGCTACAAAGATGCTTTCCTTTGCCGGCAAGTTGCAACTCTCTAGTGCGATTTTTAGCATTCAAAACTATTGGACTTCTTTGTTCATCTTGAGTGAACAGGTCATTAAAGAGGTTGAAAAGAAGTGCAATGCTTTCCTTTGGTTTGGTAAGGGTGATTCTGCTAAAGGAGCAAAAGTTGCATGGTCACATGCCACTTCACCTAGAAAAGAAAGAGGCTTAGGCCTTAGGGAAATGAAAGAATGAAATATTGCTTGTTTTACCAGAAGTATTTGGTGCCTTTTGTTATAGTCAAGATCTCTTTGGGTTGCATGGTGTCAAACTTATTATAGGAAGATAAAAGTTTGTGGAGCTTGTCTGTTCTCAATGAATGCTCACGGAATTGGAGGAAGCTTTTGAAACTCAGACATATTGTTTGGGATTATTTATCATACACTATGGGAAATGATAAAAATATTTCATTTGGTGGGATCCTTGGCATTTTTTGTGGTCCATTGGTTAAACACTATGGTCATGGAATCATGAAGAATTCTGGGATTTCCACAAATGCAATGCGGTCAGAAGTAAAACATGGTGATGATGGGGGGGGGGGAGATGGGTGGTGTGGTGGTGGTGGTTGGCTGCAGCTAGAAGCAATCAAATGGAGCTTGTTCAGAGTATGATTTGTGGTGTGATCTATCCACATTCTTTCCAAGAAGATGCTGTGTACTAGAATCTTATTCCTAATGACCAATTTTCTGCTAAAAGCATGTGCGAAGCTATAATGAAAAAGGGCTGAATTGATTGGTAGTAGGCTATTATGGAGACACCTTAACATCCCCAGGCATAACTTCATCTGTTGGTTGGCTATGTTAGGTAGATTAACTACTAAATGCAGGCAAGCTAAGATGGGAAGGGTGATTGACACCAAATGTGACCTATGCAATCTTGCATATGAAAATAGAGACCAAATTTTCTTTGCGTGTCCTCTAACAAAATTTATATGGCAACAAGTTCTACTCTTTCGTGGCATTAACAGACAAGTGGGTTCTTGGAATAACGAATTTTGCTGGGCTAAACAACTACTGCAGAAGAGGAAATTTTATGCAATTGTCTTACGAATTGCATGGTGTTCATAAGTGTACTGTGTTTGGAAAGCTAGAAATGCGAGAGTTCACAATGTTGCAAGAGGGAAAGCTGATACTATTCTAAAAAATATCATCATGAGTGTGCAAAGGAGGTTTAAAGGAACTAAACTGCCGACTGAAGCCTTAGAAAATACTAAACACAGTCTGTTGTGCCAGTATTGGAATCTTTCTAGTGAGCTTTAAGTGATTGTTTGTTTTTTGTAGCAGCAATATACTACTAGCTTTTGTATTCAGGTTTTTCTGCATAAGTTACTTGATTAATGCACTTTTTTCATTCATAAAAAAAACATGGTAATGTTTTATTGATTTCTCAAACATAAAGGTTCACATATATGTAAAGCTAATAACTTACTTGGTGACGTTTGAATCCCAGCCCTTTAGCTTGGCTATTTCCGTCAAAGCTCGTCTCCAACTGCGTACCTCTTCTAATCTGCTTTCTCTTTGTTCTGCTGATATTAGATCTGAACTGCAGTTTTGTTCATGAATGCGAAGTGCGTCCCCGAAGCTCCCACGCAGCTCTTGAACGTCGGTTGGATCGACTTGGTAAAAAATTGGTATAACAATCTGGCCTTTCGTCTCCTTCCACTCCAGAATCTTCGAGAGTTCCGCCAAACAGAAAGGAGAATCTGCATAATTTTTGGAGAAAATGACTACTGAAATATTCGATTGTTCGATCTTTTCCAAGAGACCTGGCTCGATACTTTCTCCTCCACCAAGTTCATAATCAATGAAGGTTACAATTTGATTTCGAAGCAAAGCATCATAGAGATGACTGGTAAAACCATCGCGGGTGTCTTTACCTCTAAAACTAAGGAACACATCATACTTCCATTGTGGAGTAGAAGCAGAAGCCATATATGATGCTTGATATATAGTGATTATGACTTGTTTGAGAAAAGGGTAGAGTCTAAGATCCCCTCAAAGAAATCTCTACATGTGAAGGAGATGTAAGCGGCAAGAGGGCGGTAGAGTTATAAACCCAAAGAAAGAAGACAATACAGAACAGAGAGAGCCTTTGATTCAGTTCAATGTTATAACAAAGGACAGAGTGAAGACCAGTGGAAAGAGAGGAGAAATTTCAATGCTCTTTCTTTAGTTCCATCTCATAATAAGCTCAATGCTGCCCTCTTGAACGCCTTTGGGTTGACTTTGCCATTGCTGAAGTCTCATAGGGTTATTCACATTAAATGTCATTCTATTTTTTTTTTCTTAAGGTGATTTCTATTTTTTTTTTATTCCGCTCCTTATATATATATATATATATATATATATATATATATATATATATATTTTAATGTGGTTTCTTCAATTGTTTTTTTAGCTAATTTTTCGATCAAAAGCATTTGATAAAAAAAATTACCACGTCATGTAATGTTACATTAATTTGCCACATCTAAAAAAGAAAAAAAATCGAAAAAATAAGCTAAAAAATATTTTTTATATATATATATATATATATATATATATAAAAGCAAATTAATTACTCACTCCCAGTCCCATTAACTAAAACCCAATCTTTGTTTTCTACGCCAACCCCATAAACTAAAACCCTCTCTTTGTTTTCTCCGACACATCTCTCAACCAAACTCAAACAAACCCAAGTCCCATAAACTAAAACCCTTTCTTTGTTTTCTCCGACACATCTCTCAACCGACTCAAACAAACACATAACTATCTACCTCGCTTCAAACCTAAAACTTGGATTAAATGACTACGATTAACGTGAATCCTATCAAATCCACTTCTTACCTTCCCAGCTATGCGTACGAGGACGCAGAGAGCAGAAGAACATAGCGGTCTCCATTAAGAATTGATGGCATATAAGCATGCTATAGCTCCTGTCCCTTTTATGTTATTGTGAGGTGCTTGACTCTTATGAGCAAGCCTTTAGGAAAATCGACAAAAGGAAAGGAAAGGCTTGATCGGTGTCAGCCAATTTCCAATGGAAGTTGATGACGAAATGGTGAGTGAAAACAGCCATTTCAAGTTTCACCAGTTCCGATCCTGCTCATAGTCGCGGTCCCCCCGCAAATGGCGTCAAGTAATTACTAAAGCATCTCTTCATGAATATAGTAATCTGATGAGATCTTTCCATATAGTAATCTGATGAGATCTTTCCAGATGAGTTTAGATCTTCTAAGCGAGGAACAAGCCTGCCAGTTGCTTGATCAAAGACCTCATCCAAACCTTCCTCTATCCATCCTGCAAATTCGAAAACCATGTTCCTTCATTAGTTTTTTTTTAAAAAAAAAAGGGATTCATCTTGTAATTGAAGTAGATCCTTTAATATTTTTGTTTTATTTTGTTTTCAAGACAATAATTCTTATTACTGCTGCGTATGGATCTGAAGTTTATTGCTGTTGAATTCTGCATTATTTGGTCGTGAATGGGTTATTTTCAAATTCAATTCACTTTCTTCAATATGCTGATGAATTTCTCTCACAAGTTTCAAACTTTCTAATTGTGTCAAATTAGAGCCGGGCAAGAACGAGTGAATTGTGAACTGTGATCAGTAAAAAGGCAAGAACTGGAGATGAGTGAACTCGCGGGAGGCCGTGCTAGTGAAGTTTCCAATAGAACCCCATACAAACTGATGTACGCCTGAAGTTTCCAATAGATTCTCATACATCCATTGAATAAGAAATGGACAAGTGAAAGGACTTTTGAACTGGAAATGAATTGTAATATCTTGACCAAAAACCTCTGAGTAATTATTTATGTACGTATGGAAGGAGGAAATAATTTAGAATTTATATGGTACGTATGGATGATTAATTTATGAGATAATATGTAATATTGGAATTTATTTTTTATGCTTTGTATGTATATTTGTTTTACTAAGTATGTTCATGTCATGTTTGTATCATTATTAATAAATGTTTTGTTTGAAAAATTAATGTTGCTGAGTAGCATGAATGAATAGTAAATTAATTGACAAGTGAAAGGTTTAGAAAAGATAGAACAATTAAATATTCTCATATAAGTGTAATTTAAAATTTAAAAATTTAATTAGTGATATAAACAGGTAGTAATCTAGGAAAATAATATTCTAAATAGATGCTTCATTTAAATTAACATGTTTTATTGTAAAATACCACCTTACGACATGTAGCTCATTAAGGACATTTTAGACAATAATTTTGACCAAGAGAAGGAAACAAGAAGAGGGAACATTCCACTTGAGTCACACTTTCTTCCTCCACCATCTTTAAGAGCAAGAGAGAGGCCAAATCCAACAGAGAACGCTAGACAAAACTAAGATTTACTAAGGGAAGAAGCTGAAATTAATCAAAGGAGGCATGCTTGGCCAAAAGGAGGAGCAAACTATATAAGAGGGAGAGGGGGTCGTTTTGACTGGATTTTTGGGCAAGAAAGAGAAGGAAGATTTTTAGGGTTTTCAAGGTGATTTCATCGTCAATCAAACTTAAGGTAAGTGTAACTTCTTCAACTCACCATAAGACTTAGGATGACTATATGTTAAATTGATAGATTGTGTTCTTAGAAACCTAGAATTTCAAATTGTGCAATTGAATGGTTTAGGTTCAATTGATGCTTGAATTGTGAAATTGATGGATGATTGATTATTATAATATTATAACAAGTGTTTAAATGATGACTCGACCATTGTATTAATGATAGGTAAGTGATAAATTATTGTTGTTATGAATTGAGAATTTAAAGGTTTATGTTTAAATCATGTGATTGTTATGATTTGAGTATTTGAATATGCAATTGTATGATTGGTGATTTGATGGGTATGTTGGGTGATTGAATGGGAGAAGAAGGAGCTCAAGGAATGAGTTTATTGGGATGAACCATCCGACCATGACTAAAAGGAATAAGAGAACATTATGTTGTAGGAAATTGATGCAACTAAGGTATTTGATAAAATGCATATACTATATTTTGGGATGAAACCAAAGAGGAAAATTAATGAAATTAAATGGTTAGTTATGGTTGATAACTAAAGATTAAATGGTATTTAAGTGAGATTAAATAATAATAATTTATGGTTTAAGGCAAAGAAATCAATTTGATTGCTTGCTAAGAGGTCATTCGACCAAGTCCCAAAAGTAAGGAATTGTTGAATTAGATAGTTAGGTAATGGAATCTAGAGACTTTAAACTTGGTTGATTAGAATTAAATGTTTTGAAATGAAGACTTAAGATGGTTTAGCTTGGGATGTAATTAGGTCATTAACTCTGTCATTAACCTTAATTGACCTAAAAGACTAAGTCAAATGAATTTCATGAAAGATTAAGCCTAAACATAATAAGATGAATATGTATGTTTGAGGATGAATAGATGTGAAATTACTTAAAAATGATTGATTGAGTCATTGTTGTGTGTTTTCATTGACAAATATCGTAACCCCATACTTCAAAATCCTTTCAAACTTGTTATAGAGGTAAAAAAGTACATAACATAAGAAGAAAAATGCACTCATACTCGTGTGTGTTGTGAAAAACAAGCGTAAGCAAGACCACACGACCGTATGTGTTAAAACACAAGACTATAAGTCGTCGAGAATTGTTTTCCTTGAGTATTCAGCTTAAATGGACTAGATACATGTCGAATTAGTGTTTTATTCCCGATAAAAGTTGTAGCCCTATCTCTTATCTTTCTAAATCATTACGTATTGAATCATTTGGATATCCAAAGCTTCAACTATGGATTAAATATCGACAATGACTCGATCTGTTCACCCGACTTTAGGATTCCAACTTAGTAGTTGAATTTCTCCATCGGAACCACCTTGTTTGGACTCAAGACCTTCATAAGAATTATAGGTATGCCTCTTAAGTATTTCATGGGCCCGGACTAGTACCAATTGGATTTTTAAAGCTCCGTATATTAGTTAAATGCCTCGACCAATTTAGAATCTAAATGGAATTCCAATCGACTTTCTAGACCGAATACCAATATATGGTTTTGCTAAATATGAAGTATTTGGTTGAATGATATGAAGGTTAGGGTTGGTGAAGGATGGTTCGACCTAGATAAGCTTAATGGAGAATTCCATAATCATGTTTTGAGATAAATTCGACCAATGACCAAGGAATTATTTTAGGTTATTATAGCTTAATGGGTTCGGGCAAAGAAAAATAGTTGATGTAGCCTGGATTAGGCTCATTGGTAGTTTTTTCATGATGTTGAATGGTTGTATGCTTGGGGCACCATGTGAGGGATTCAGCCATGTGATGTTTTAGGTTATGTTCATGAATTAATGATGACATATGAGTTGTGTTCATGATTGTTTAAGGCTAGATAGTTTTAGTCTTGTCATGTCATGTTAATTGTATTCATGGTTGGTTTAGGTTTGATAATATTCGGTCATGTTATGTTATGTGGAATGTATTTAGTAATGGCTTAATGCCATATGATTCATGTTTATGTCTATGTTTGATGTCGCATTTTAATTGCATTCGCACTATGAAATATTTTATGTCATCATTTCAAGTATTCAAAGATGCATTCATGTCATGAAAATGTTTAAGCATGATTTCAAGTATTCCAAGAAAAATCATGTTCATGTTTTCAAGACAAACTTGCAAAGAGAATGATTTGGTGTATACTCTTTGTAATGCATACAAAGGCAATAGTCGAGTAGATACTCTTTGTATGTTTTAAGACAGGGCATACATACTAAGGGAATGATCCGAGTGAATACTCTTAGTATGTAAAGGGAATGATATGGTGTATACCCTTGATATAATGGCTCACAAGAGAATGATCTAGTGTATACTTTTCATGAAGATGATACAAAAGAATTTCAAGCATGAAAAATAACGATTTTAATTGCATTTCATGCATGGTTACATTTACTAAGCTTAGCTCAATGTTTTGTCTTACGG